AGAGTTGATGATAAAAGAGTTGGCGATAAAAGAGTTGAAGGTAACAGTTGATGATAGCAGAGTTGATGGTAAAAGAGTTGACGAAAAAAAGTTGACGGTAAAAGAGTTGACGGTAACCAAATTGACAGTAAAAGAGTAGACAGTAACCGAATTGATAGTAAAAGAGTTGACGGTAAAAGAGCTGACGATAACCGAATTGATGGTTAAAGAATTGACGAAAAAAGAGTTGACGGTAAAAGAGTTGATGATAAAAGAGTTGACGTAACAGTTGACGATAAAAGAGTTGCCAATAAACGAGTTGACGATAAAAGAGTTGACGGTAACAGAGTTGCCAATAAACGAGTTGACGATAAAACAGTTGACGGTAACCGAATTGAGGGTAAAAGAGTTGACGATAAAAGTGTTTACGGTAACAGTTGTTGATAACAGAGTTAACGGTAATAGAGTTGGTGATAAAACAGTTGACAGTAACAGAATTGACAGCAACAGAGTTGATGGTAACTGTTTATAATAACAGAGTTGACAAGAGAAGAAAAGATCGAATGACTGAATGAGTATTACCTTAACCTGTAAAAGTCCTCTGCAGGTGAGCAGGTATCCACCGATCTCCTCCAGCAGGTAAAATGCACTGGAGCTGCACTGGATCTTCAGCGCTGCACACAAAACACTACAGTAAACATATGCACCCTAAAACAAGCACTGATGTTTGATTGTGTTACCTTCGCTGGTGGACTCCATGCGGGATGCCGTGTTTACCGTATCTCCAAACAGACAATATCTCGGCATCTTTGTTCCTACGACTCCTGCGACTACAGGACCTTAAAGAAACCCCCAAAAAATTAAATAAAATAAAATAGAATAAAACCATACTGACAAAGATCTCACATCACGACAAATAACGACCATGCAGCTGAGATACTATTACCTATACTATATTAGTCAAAAATGGCAGGTGGCTCAGGACTGTTTATGCTAATGAAGGAGAGATGGTCCCTCATTGTAAACGCAGGTGAATGCTGATTAATCTCAGCTTTGATTATATTCATAAGTATCTAGATGTAAATACAGATCAGTACTGATTAATGTGTGTTTTGGTGCGCACCGGAGTGTATTCCCGCTCGAATCTGAAGCTGTGTTTGAGGTCTGTGTGGGATCCTGAAGGTTTTGCAGACGGACACCAGATCCAGAGCCATGTTGGCGATTTCAGATGCATGCAGGATCCCGTTCTCTCGCGGGACCCCCGAAACCACCATATCTGCGGCACAACACACACAATCACATCTGCACGCTAACAAACCACATTTACAGAGAACAACATGCATTCAGGAGCTCAATAGGGAAATGAATCTTATTTTTATTATTAAGTATTAAACACTTCAGCAGAGATCATAAATTATCCTGAAAACTACATTACCCATGATGCTGTGCAGGAATTCCACCAAACAGAGTCTCAGTAAGTAAAGTCTGGCAAAGTACAATTTATCTCCGCCCACTTCTATGAAGCACAGCCAATGGCATAATCGCATCTGTCTACTCTCTGAGAATACTGATTTTGCAAAGTATTTTTTCTAAAGACAGAACCAACAACTTAAATGAAGTATTTTATGTATGAATAGTCTGTAATCTTTAGTTTGATTGTTTGAAGTGCAATGCTTTATGGGACTGTAGTTCTTTCCCTCTTTAAGTCGAATTAGTTCACGTATCTCTCACGTATCTGTCTTTTTGTCTGATTTTTATACATTTTTAAAAAATTTAGGGCAAACTGAGAATTACAAGAATAAAGACTGACTTTTGAGAAAAATACATTTAGAATTATGATTTAAAAACCTAAACTCAGAATTACAAAACAACGAATAATAAAAAAAGACTGAATTACATGACAAATGTCAGAATTACAAAAAATAAACTCAGAATAAAAAGAAATGAGCCAGATTTATAAGACGTAACTCAGGATTACAAGAATTAAGTCAGAATTACGTACCGCAAACTCAGAATTACTAAAAAAAGTCAGAATTACGTACCATAAACTCAGAATTACTAAAACAAAAGTCACAATCACACGACAAAAAGTCAGAATTACAAAACAAAAACTCAGAATTAAAAAAATAATTCAAAATTACAAAACAAAAACGTAGGATTAAAAGAAATAAGTCAGAATTACAAAACAAAAACATAGGATTAATAGAAATAAGTTAGAATTACAAAAGGTAAACTCAGAATTAAAAGAAATAAGTCAGAAGTACAAAATAAAAATGCAAAATTAAAAGAAATAAGTCAGAATTACAAAACAAAAACATAGGATTAATAGAAATAAGTTAGAATTACAAAAGGTAAACTCAGAATTAAAAGAAATAAGTCAGAAGTACAAAATAAAAATGCAAAATTAAAAGAAATAAGTCAGAATTACAAAATAAAAACGCAGAATTACGAAAAAAAAATAAGAATTATGAAAAAAAAGTCAGAATTACGAAACCTAAACTCATAATTACTAGATTAAAAGTCAGAATTACGAAACATAACTCAGAATTAAAAGAAACAAGTCAGAATTACAAAACATAAACGAAAAATTAACAGAAACAAGTCAGAATTACAAAACATAAACGCAAAATTAACAGAAACAAGTCAGAATTACAAAACATAAACGCAAAATTAACAGAAACAAGTCAGAATTACAAAACATAAACGCAAAATTAACAGAAACAAGTCAGAATTACAAAACATAAACGCAAAATTAACAGAAACAAGTCAGAATTACAAAACGTAAACTCCGAATTACAAGAATAAAAGTCAGAATTACGAAACGTAAATTCAGAATGACAAGAAACAAGTCAGAATTACAAAAAATAAACTCAGAGTTACTAGAATAAAAGTCAGAATT